TGAGCCATCAGCCCAGAGCCTGACGCGGGGCTCGAACTCACGGACCGCGAGATCGTGACCTGGCTGAAGTCGGACGCTTAACCGACTGCGCCACCCAGGCGCCCCTCAAATATTTTTAAATATCAACAAGTGACAGCAAAATCCTGAAATGTAGCATTCAATAATAAGATAAAGCCCAGTATCTTTAGGTCACCTATTTTAGAGTGCCACATTCATGCACCGTGTCTACTGGAAAGTAAGTACCACTCTGGATGTAAGCAAATGCCTCATCCATTAAGAGGGGAAAGGACAATGAAGGCAAGTATCTACTGTAAGAGACCTGGAAGTTGAAATGAGTATTTTGAAAAGGGAATCCCTCACAAATATAAATTATTTAAGTCTGGGATTACAAGTAAACTTGTTTCACAAGGAGTATTTCAGAAATAAGATATAAGAAATGTAGTGGGGTGTTGGGGGTAAAAGGGGAACCAAATCCCTTAATATATTAACTCTAAGTTGAAAAGCAAAGAGTCAGGAAACGCAAGCCTTAGTATAAATGCTGAATTAGCTACTTGTATTTAAATTCTGACGAAAATGTTTACCTCACATACTCCAGTTGATGATAACATGGTTACCAGTGTATTCACTTAGCTGCTGCAACAACCTCAAATCACAGCAAGCAGCAACCAGGAATTAAACTGTGAATAGGTGTGAAATCAGAATATAGTAGATGATACCCTTAATTCAAATTGGTAGATTCCAGAAAGTAAACTCTGGAAGGAAGAGGAAGTAAAGTAAACTTTACAGAAGACTTCCTATTTTGGGGACCATAAAACACATTTGCTACTTTACCTCTTAATCTCATTTAATCTCTTTAATACTCATAAGAACACATCTGAGGTAGCATTATATCCTTTCCGCAAACAAAGAAATAAAAGTACAAAAATTAAGGTAAGTAACCCAAGTCACATGACTGAGAAACCTTAGGATCAAGGTATGAACTGAGTTTAGTTCAACTCAAATAGGGCATTTGCCTCAATCACCCCTTGAAATGCTTCCAGGCTACAAGAAGGAGGTCTGAAGAGGTGAATTTAGATCCTACTTCATACATGTAAGCCTCGAAAAAATTATAAAATGAAAAAATAAAACCATTATTAAAAAATTTTGGTAGCAGTCAAAGAACTCTATGCCATATAATTATAAAACTAATAAAATAACAATTCACCAGGAGATTGAAAAAAAATAAAAGTTCACAATTAACTCTTAGGACATCAAGTTTTAACCAGGAAACATTTATCACTTCCCTAAAACTTTCTAAAAATCTATTCATAATACATTATTACTTTCTTGGTAATTGAGACACCCTATACTAGATCACAACCCAACTCTATAGAATAGAAGGTGTTAAAAAATAGACCAAATAAACACAACACATATAGATCTAAATAAAATATACTGACCCTAGGACTTCACATAGAAGCTATTTTCTAAATAAATTATAAAATCTTAGTACTTTAAAGCATCAGGTTGGATGACAATTGACAGATAATCCATCTGATCTTGTCACAACTAAGTAAGAAGCTGCCCAAAGAGCTTCTCTGTCCAAAGAGTAAAGAAGAGGAATCTGGAGCAACAAGAGTAAAGAAGCAGAGAGAATACATTTAAAGAGGTGTCTAGATCATCAATAACTGTACATTTAAGTAAGTATGGATTAAAAAATAACTTTGTAGCCAGTACTGCACAGAAGAGATACAAAAGCTATCACTAGAAGAAGGGAGACAGTTGTATACAATATGCTAGAACCTCACTATAGTTGCATTCCTCAAATCTATTCCTAAAATCTATACCACAGTTTTATAGCAAATACAAAACATGTCATATAGGAGCATGGCATCTGTATCACTCAAAAAGAAGTAAAACAGAAATCTACTCTCTTTTGAGTAAAATTTTACATGGAAGTCCTCAATTCTTTGCCTCACCATAACTCACTGAGTTTTAAAATGTAAAGTCATTGTCCTCACTTTCCACCGGAATAAAACTCGCTCCGATAAACACAGGAATCCTTCCCTAAAGTTTATCTTACTTAAATCAGTCCCACAAATAAGAATGTCCAAATATCTTTCTACTTTGTGTAAAACAGCAAGTTCATCTTTTAACTTCTAAATATAACTAATATTTCAAATTATTTTAAGAAATTTTCACATTAAAATCACCTAAAGAACAAAAATTGAAAACAAACCATAATACCTGCAGAAACTATGTATAAGCATTCTACCTTTATAGTTATATCAAGGACACAAAAGCGATGTCACTGAAATATACAAAGACAATGCTGCCATCTAAAGGCCAAGATACAATATGAAAAAAAATGTATACTCAAATACTGCCAATATATAAAAACAATTTGATATTTTAAAGTCAGCAAAGTTTACACTTTTAAAGAAACTCTATGCTATGACTATTTTTAGACTATAAACAAAATTCTAATACTCTTTTGAGAAGATTCAATTTAATAAGAGAATTAGCAAAACAATTTCATTAATGATCGGTATCTGCACAGGTCAAATTCTGTTGGCATCCTTTCAGACACAGCATTCTCCTAAATATCTCTATTAGTTGTTAACTTACAAAATCTGTCTTATTTAGTGATGTTTAGTGATATTTCCTACCTATAATTACATATGGAGTATAAATATTTTTATAAATATATACTGCATAAAAATATAAAAGTATATAAATATAATTTGCCTTTAGCCAGACTGCTATTATTTCTACTCACCCCATTTAAAATATTTCTTGTTAAAAGACTAATAATAACAGTTCTCAGAGTGAAAACACCTGAACTACTTAAAATTATAGCTTTGAAAGGATTCAAATATTTCTCATTGTTCCATAAATTCTAAAACAACAAGGTGTAGCTCCTATGGGAAGATAGATAATAATTCAACTGTCCAGTATGAAGAGCTCAAATGATTCTAAGATTCCTTTTCTAGAACTTTAAATTGAAGGAACTTTATTGAACCGAACTTTAAGATTTAGCAAAATTACTTCAAATTTCCAATGAAATCAAATGTTTACTGAATAACACGACATACAAAATTGATTTCCTTATCATTTAAGTATATCATCTTTTTAATGAACCACAATAATAAGGAAAAACAAATGTGAATGTAAGTATAAACTTCAGAACATATACAATTAGTTCCTCTGGGGAACCACGGACTAAAAATGTTAATGTGTTAAGAAAAATGTTTCTCTGTGTTTACTCAACAAGGAAACAAATATTAATCATCCAACAAATATTCCCAATATGTGAAGAATATAAAAATCTCAAGTTGGGTTTACCATCCTTTCATTTCTCTTGAATGTAAAGTGGAAACCAACAGACAACAAATACAGACAGGATTTCATAAAAATTACTAGTTTTAGTGTCTCTTATGGGTCAGAGTTTGTACTAGACAATGTAAGGACATTATGCCATTTAATCCTCAGAGCTACAACCTGCAAGAAAACAGGTATTAGTAACCCTGTCTGCAGAAGAGGTTCAAGGAGCAATTTCCCTAGAATCACAAGTGATTGATTGTACACCAGGTTTAAAAAATTCACCCTCTCTGACCCAGAAAACCTTATTCATTCTATAAGATCATACTGCTTTAAGAGAGATTATTAAACTTGTAATAAATGTAAAGAGAAATGTGGAGGATTTTTACTATATAATTTCACAGGAAAATATAATTCTATGTGGTGATAAAAGCATTTCCTTTTAACTTATAGTGTTTTGATTTTTCTAACTGGAATCTTGTTTTAAAGTACATTATCTCATTTGAAGTGCTGATGGTTCTAGAGACCTTTTAAAACTTACATTAATTTATGAGACACATTTATCAAATATTGTAAACTAATCCCAAGAAGCAACAAAAAGATCCCTTTATTTGGGGAATACAATTAAGAGCAGGTCTCCTTTGAAAATATGCAACATATTCAGTACCACCTTGCCTACATTTTAAAGTACACGATTTCTCAACCTTGAGAAATCTACTAGTACCTCCCTAATGATAACCTGTTCTGTTAACTTTTACTAAGCACCCATCAAATCAAAATTTTAAAGGTTTGGAGTATTATTCAACCACTAAAAAAACTGAAGCTCCGATATATGCTACTACATGAATGAACCTTGAAAACATTATGCTATGTCCAAGAAGCCAAATACAATATACCACATACTGTGTGATTCCATTTGTATAAAATGCCTAGAACAGGCAAATCCACAGAGACATAAAGTAGATTACCAGGTGCCAGGGGCTGGAGGAAGGGGGAAATGGAGAGTGACAACTAATTAGCAGACTTTCTTTGGGGGTAATGAAACTGTTCTAGAATTAGTGATGATGACTACACAACTTTGTGAATATACTAGAAACCATTAAGTCACAATACTTTCAAAGAGTAAATTTTATGGCAGGTGAATTACATCTCAATAAAAGTAAATAAACAGCTGTAAATATATATATTAAGTATGAATGAGTTACACGTATCGTTAAAATATAAAATCTATATAACTAAAAAGATTATCTACCTCAGTTTACTGAATCTCATTTTTCACCACACTAAGTGAAAAGCTTTAGTTCACACGTACACATCTTTCTGAACCATAAAAAAAAAAAAATCTAACTACTTAGAATTATTCCAATCCCTAGGAAATCAAAAGGAACAACCACCACAGACTTATGTTTAGCAACTAAATTTTATTTTTTCCAATTTACCTGAGTTAATTAATTGCCAGAATTTAGACAAAAACCTATTAGCACATGCTAATGAGGAATTTTTAACACACAAGTACCACATGCAAGTACCTACAGAGTTATAGGATCAATTTATAAAACCATTGTTTTGAGAGGATTCTTGTTTTTAAGTAGTATTTGCCTCTAAACCATCAAAAGAAGCAGATAAAATTTTATAAGTTATAAAGATATCAAAGGTTAGAAACAAAATTTTTAAAAATGAAGATTATAACAAGTACTTACTAATTTGTTTTCCTGCATGTATATTCTTTGTAATTTCAGACAGCCCTTAGCTATGACGATCATGCCTTCATCTGAGATCTTGTAACATTGGCCGAAATGAATATCTTTGAGTTCTCTGCACTTTGAGCCCAGCTGTAAACAAAGAGATTTAGCTGAATGCTCAGAAAATAACAAAGATAACATATTTCTAGTGGAATTTCCATATAATTTTTTTAAATAGCCATACCAAAGTTAAATTAACTGCTTATAAACTACTTTTAAAATAAAGTAGAATGTAGGCGATCTATAACTTAAGATAGTATTGTGTAAGCCTTTTCATCTGCTAATTACTTCCCTGCTTCAACTACCTCATACTATATGCCCACCTAAGGCGTCCAGATTTCTTAACACCTCAAAATCACATCTGTATTTCTCTTGAGTCAATTATATTGTTACACTGGTGGAGCCCAGTTACAAGGAATAAAACAAAGTTCCAAGAAGCAAGGCAAAGGTCTAATGAGTGAAAGAATATTTAATTCATCAGATCTACTTCTACTCCTGACGACCCCAATGAATCATTTCCCTCCACTGGCTCATTACCCTGGGAAAAAATAAAAAGTCTAAATATGCTGTAGGTAATATTTTAGAGTACTTATTTACACACTGTACTGCATAAACTGAAAACAAAAGGACTATTTCCTGATTGAAATTCCAACTGTACCTTAGTTACCAAACAGGTACAATGTTCCCATTAAAACCATCAAGTATCACAGAGAACAAATTATATACATTTCCTTTCAAAAGCCACAGTGTAGATGATCAAACTATAAATGAATGCTGTTTCATGAGTACTACATATGAATGGAGTCATTTTAGAGTTAAAATAAGCAATCTCCTTTAGCAACAACTTATACATCAAAAATTATCTAAAAAATTACATTAAATAATAAAACTCAGTGTCAGCAAAGATTCAAAGTGTCATGATATACCACTGGTAAGAGTGAAAATTAGTACTGAAAAGTTTCCTTGGAGCAGAACCTAGCATAAATGAAAAAAATTTGTGTAACTGAAAAATGTACAACTCAGCTTATAAATATTTGCAAAAAAAATCATGACAGAGGGATAGATAATTAGATAGATTATATGATAAAGTAAGCATACTAAAATGTTAGTTATAGGGTGGTGGGTTAAATGGTGATGGGGATTAGGGAGTTAGGGAGTGCACTTGTCATGATGAGCATAGGGTAATGTATGAAACTGTTGAATTACTATATTGTACACCTGAAACTAATAAAATGCTGTATATTAACTAACTGGAATTAATATAAAAATTTTAAAACATATAAAAAAGATGTTAATTATACAATCCAGATAGTGGGTATATGGGCATTCACTGTAAAATTCTTTCTAATTTTCCATTAATATAAATTTTTTCATAATAAACTGATGGAACAATTAAATAAAAGTTTTTGGTAAATTTTAGCTACAAGCAATTAGCAAATGGGATTTTTTTTAAATAGTAAAATAGAGAAAACAACCTAAAGATACAAATAAGTGTTTTCATGAAACTGAATATTGTACAGCCATTAAAATTGAAGTAAACACTTGACAAATAAAAATTAAAATTTTATATGTTTTTAAAATATAATCCAATTGAATTTCTGTAAACAAATTATGCACATTTAAATATACCTATGTGTATATGTGTACAGAAAAGAGAGTGGGGGCACCTGGGTGGCTCAATCAGTTAAGCATCCAACTTTGGATCCTCTGCCTCCCTCTCTCTCTGCCCCTCCCCTGCTCACACACTGTCTCTCTCTCCCAAAAATAAAAACATTTTTTTTTTAAATGTTAAAAAAAAAAAAAAAGAAAAAAGACTGAAACGTACACCAAGGTTTTAATGGTGCATTTTTTTTCTTTTCTGCCTATCAATCTTCTCACATCTTTTTAAAAATAAATGTTACTTTAGTAATTAAAAAAAACTTTAAATGGGGCGCCTGGGTGGCGCAGTCGGTTAAGCGTCCGATTTCAGCCAGGTCACAATCTCGCAGTCCGTGAGTTCGAGCCCCGCGTCGGGCTCTGGGCTCAGAGCCTGGAGCCTGTTTCCGATTCTGTGTCTCCCTCTCTCTCTGCCCCTCCCGCGTTCATGCTCTGTCTCTCTCTGTCCCAAAAATAAATAAACGTTGAAAAAAAAAAAAAAAACTTTAAAGTTCTGTTTCAAGTAAAGTAATGACATTATAACAAAGACATGCGAATTCCATTATTTTCCAGGGATACATAGTTAAATTATGTTATCTTCATCTAGACCACACTATAAACAATTACATATTCAACTAGAAACGGAAGTTCCACAAAGACAGAAATTTTCCTGTTAACTATCCCTGGTGCCCAGTGTCTTCTGCTTAACTCAGCTGATACTGAGTAAATATTCGCTGAATGAATGAAAAGGCTGATACATATATGTAAAGAAGCCTCTTTGAAAAATGGATGAATATAGGAAACCATGATTATGGTCTCATATCCAATTAATCCAGGAATTCTAAATTGAGTCCACAGGTAGACTTCAGGGATTCCAGGAAAGCAGATGAGAAAAAAAAGAGTACATTTTTATTTTCATACTATCCTCTAAATGAACTCTAGCCTTTTCTTCACTTATTAATGTAAACAAAAAAATCACAATAGTTTAGCAGTACATGTGATTTTGTAAACAATGGAAATCAAAGACAATTTCTTATAATATCACTGCTGTTGCAGCTATCATGAAATTCCATTTCTGTTCATCAGTATTCATTACATTCACAACCAGATCTTATAATGCATAAAAGAGGCACATATATTTCTAGAACAAATGTATAATGGCACATTACTTACACCTAAGAAAGCTAATCCAAAGCCAACAGCAGGGAAGATGGAAAATCAACTTGATAATCACTACAAAACTCCTCATAGGCTCACATATGTCTGGCATTGAGGGCAAGGATGGCATTAAAAACACCAGAATTCTTTAAAGTGTACTTAAGAAGTGGTTAACCACTCAGATCACCTACCCATGACTGCACAGCCTGATCTTGCCCACTCTCTCACAATAGCAAAAGACTGGAGTAAGTAAAACACAGGGTTTTTGGACTGAGGTACACCATGCATAGCTCAAAGCAAAATCATACTCCAGAAAATGTGGGGATGACATGAAAGTTTCTAAGGTGAAAATGAAGAAATTCAAATAAAGAATTCTGTAAGATGTTCCAGGATTAAAAGATAGGGACTTCTGGACTGAAAAAGCACATTCACATGTCCAGCACAAATGACAAAAACAAACCAATGACAAGGCAAATCACCATAAAATGTCAGAATTAAAGGGTATAAAAAAAAGATTCTACAGACTTCCAGTGACATATTTCATATAAAAGACTGCTACTAAAAAGGCATCAAACTTCTTAATGACAACACTGAAAGAAAGCAATAGAGCAATGCCATCAAATTCTCAAGGACAAGTATTTCAAACCTAGAATCCTATGCTCAGGATTGAGACTATGAATTAAGTATGAGTATAAAAAGGAGACATCTTCAGACACGCAAGTTCTCAAAAGATTTACCTCCTATATATTCTTTATCAGGAAGCTACTAAAATCTGTGCTCTACAAAACAAGAATACACCAAGAGAAAGAAGATATAACATCTAGGTAACAGGATATCTAATACAACCACAAGGTGAGGAAAACCTTAAGGATAATGGTGAAGGTTAAGATACTTTGATGACCACTAACGCAAGAGCACTTGTATACAAGAAGTCCAATGTGGACCCTACAGACTATGCCAGGCAAATCTGCTACATGAAGATATATATTAACTAAGTATCTACATATAGATATACTAATGCAACTGTGGAAAAGCTTTTGACTCCATTCATGATAAGACTATAAAACTCAGTAAATGGGGTGCCTGGGTGGCTCAGTCAGTTGAGTGTCTGACTTCGGCTCAGGTCTTGATCTCAGTTTGTGAGTTTGAGCCCCACATTGGGCTGACAGTTTGGAGCCTGCTTTGGATTCTGTGTCTGCCCCTCCCCCACTCGTGCTCTGTGTGTGTCTCTCTCTCTCTGTCTCTCTCTCTCTCTCTCAAAAATAAAATAAAAACATTTAAAAAATCATAAAAAGTCAGTAAACTAAATGGGATGAGAAGATTAATTTCAAGAACCACAAAATTCTATAGAGAAAAAAGGCAGGTATGTAATTATAAAATGTAAATACCAAATACTTAATCAAAATTATGGAAGAATTATGTTGGGAGGATGAGTGAATAGGAGACCGGGAAGGATAAGTAAGCTAAATTCTCATCTTCCATAGCAAGGAATCTGCCTAGATGGTCTAAAATGGATAAACCAAGAAAATACAGATAGGCTTAGAAGAGTAATGCTTCCTTCTTCTGGAGAAAGTTCAATTAGTCTAATTCCTTATCTCTCCACTGACTAGTTTGTGTTTAATACACTGGATATGTTCAGCTCATCTCTATCCTTCTTCCCCCTGGAAACAAACTGCCCACAGCAAACAAGCATGCACTTCTACATTTGCAAGGCCACTCTGCTGGTGTGGCTGAGTTGATGATGAGTGGGTCTGCTGGCCAACCTCCAGAGTTAACAAGCCCATTCTGCTCCATTTTAAGCAATATTCTCCAATCTAGCCTTTCTGAGTAATAAAGTTGACTTGATATTTTTCCTCTGTCCCTATTACCTTCTCTTGTTAATTTGTTCAGATCCTAGGAAGTAAAGAGGCCTCAACACTTAGTGCACCAACCAGGACCACTGAAAAAATACAGAGGAGTCTATACAGAAGGAGTGAATGAGGTCTCTGGTAGGAATGTAGACATTAGTTTGTATGAACAGGTTGGTAGAATCTCATGTCAACACACGTAAGTCACACTGCTGCAGCCTGCAAAAGAGTTTGAAGCTGATCACCTGGTATTTTGACTTATCAAGTGTCTTTTGGTTTTATATAAAAACAAGTGACTTTCCATAGAAGTAGAAGCAACATGGGCTTCAAGAGACATCAGCAGCAGGAGAGCCTCAGAAACTTATCAAAAAAGAGTGCCTCAGGGGATAATTACTGTCATTTAGTCTCACTGCAGAAACTGATGTTCTGTTTTAAACATCATCACTGGAC